ATGGCATGGCATGGCATGGCATGGCATGGCATGGCATGGCATGGCATGGCTGAAATCCTCTGGAGCAAACAGAGATATCTTAGAGCTAAGAGCACCTAAAAGCAAGCTAAAACAAGGCTGGAGAGGGACTTTTACAAGGGCACGCAGTGATAAGACAAAAGGGAATGGGTTTAGGATGAAGGAGGGCAGACTTAGATTAGATATTAGGAAGAAATTCTTCTCTGTGAGCATGGTGAAACCCTGGAACAGGGTGCCCAGAGAAGCTGTGTAAATGTCCAAGACTGGGTTGGATGGAGCTTGGAGCAACTTGGGCTAGCAGAAGGTGTCCCTGCCCATGGCAGAGGGTTGGAAAGAGGTGATCTCTGAGATCCCTTCCAAGACAAACCTTTCTAGGATTCTGTGGAACCTGGCAGAATGTGAACTTGCTGCAGAAGCAATTGCCGTCTTCCACTTCATTTCAGGTGGACTCAATGACCTTAGAGGTCTCCTACAGCCAAAATGATTCTATGGGTTCTTTTCTGGTCATGCAAGTGAATGAGCTACAACAAGACCTTTAGTTCTGACTGCTGACAGTACTCAAACCAGAAGAAGATCTAAAGCTGTTTGTTGGAGAGCAGGATAATCTCAGCAGTTCTAACAGAATAAAAATTCATTTCTTCCAGTACACTGAGAATGGCTCAGAATAAGCACAGCAAGGAGATCTTAAAATAAAAAAGTGCCATAACTTCTTGCTTCAGGATAGGGAGGAGGGGAAGATTAAATACTTTCATTAAATTAACTCTCATCTGAATGAGGCTTTTGTTTAATTTCTAAAAGAAACTCGTTTCTTTGTTGTCATTTTCTTCTTGAGTGGTAAATACAATGTAGAATTCCAGAAGTCTCATTTCTATACAAGCAAATGTAATCAATTTCACAGAACACTGAGACAAATCAATATGGAAGGAGTCAGAAAACCAAACAAAGGCAACAAGAGAAAAATATTATCCTATTTATATGTTCATAATACATGGGAGAAAAAGATATTTAAAATTACAGTGCTAATTTCTAAAGCAGCAGTCATCACTAGTCAGTGATAAACACCAGTAAACTATTTCAGCTGAAAAATACCACGAGTCTGTGATGATTATAACAACCCATGTGATGGTCATTATTGTCTGGAGTACAGAAACATGAGCAATTTTGCCTTCTTTTTGCTCTTTTTTAATTTGCCGTTAGCAGAAAGTAAGAGACCAGAAAAGTAATTATTGCCCAATTAACCCTTGTAATATTATATGATATTTCAGCTTCATTTGCTGCTTCAAAGTTGGATTTTATGGCCTGGTGATTCTTCTGAAGGATACCAAGACTTTGCTGAAACATTCAATATCTGCCTTGACTGGCAGCTGCAAGATGCATAAAATCAACATTAAGCTGGCTTCAGCCTGCAGAGCCATGGCTCCGAGTCTGGCTGTGTCATCAGAGAGAAAAATACTACTTCATAAGTGGAAAAAAACATAAAATCTCATCTTTTTTTTTTTTTTTTTTTCCCTTAAGATTCCTCCTGTCTTCACTCCAGGAAGTCTCATCCTTGCCAGCTGAGAACCCAGACACTTTTCAGGGCATTTTAGCAGGGTGGGAGCAGGCATGGGTATCTGTGAACCCTTCCTGTTCTCTGCTATTAAACCCTAAATCACTTCACTTTTTTTATAAAATTCATAGTGAATTAATTTTCTCCACTGTAAGTCAGGAAACAATACGGATGGAAAGTAGAAAATAAAAATCCCCAAACCAGAACTGAAAGAGAATTCTGTTCTTTTGACATCATGTTTAATGAATCTGAACACAAGGAAAGCAGTACATGTCCACTATTGCAAAAGGAGAAAAATTACAGTAGCTAGCTACAATTTGTGACTGCTTTTGGGGTAGGACTATCCCTTCTGAGTCACTGGGAAATAGAAAAATCAAATCACCCTTAAAATAAAAAAAACAAACATAAAGCTCTATTTCAGCATGGAATACCAAGGCTGAAATTAAACCAAATATTAATCAGCTCACCCATTATTCTTATTTCAGCACTAGAGAACCAGAAGGAAACATCCAGCTAAAAAAGTTAATATCCATCTGGAGACGTATTAAATGAAAATAACCACAAAGTCAACAAACTTCAGCTCATAAAAAGTTGCATGCACATTTTTATTCTGCCATCAACTCTGCTTTACCTTTGGGCCATTTCATATCTGCTTGAGTTATAACTGGTGTAATAAATGGGGTTTTAGGCAGCATATTTCCATGCAAATTTACATTGTCAAATTACTGTTCTTATTCCAACTCCATCATAGATGAAAAAATAAATTGAAGGACGTGTTTAAAAAAAAATCCCTATGATAAAAAAAATGACTCCTTCAATAGACTTATCTTTTGAAATATTACTTTTCACTCTCATGGAGCAGAAGGGTATAAAATTTAACAGGAGTAGATCCAAAAAAGCTTCTGGAGAAATTCCACTAAAGACCCTGTAAAAGTAACCTTGTTTTGAGAAGTTTTGTTCCACAAAGAAAGAAAGAAAGAAAGAAAGAAAGAAAGAAAGAAAGAAAGAAAGAAAGAAGAAAAATAGGGAGAAAAAAAAAAAGAAAAAAGAAGGGAAAAAAGAAAAAAGAAGGAAAAAAAGAAGGAAAATCACCAGAGTCCAAGTGATTGATTTTTATTGACTGCTTTTCAAAGGTGATGATCACCATCCAGTTTTCCCTCTATGCTAAAATCACACAAATAGAATTAATTGTAAAACACAGTATTTTCCTTTGGAAAATTCCAGCATTCAAATCCAGCTAAAGTTCAAGTGATACATGCGTTTGACTGCACTTTTTAAGAGAGACCCAGGCACTTTTTAAGATTTCCCAGGCCCTGAGCAGGCACCTGGTGCTGGCCCAGCCCTGAGAGGCTTCACTGAGCCCCAGCCCTGGGGAGCTGTGCACGAGAGGCACAATGAAGGAGCTGAACGTGGAAATTTTCCCTGTGTTTGCACCATTCCCTCACTTTTTTAAAAAGGAAGAAAATTTCAATGCATTCTTTTTGCAG